CACAACAGTTAAGAAGTATATACGTATAAAGATACACAACATATCCCTCCAAACTTCCAATATCCCAAACCTCTCCTTTAAACTGCGGGCATTGTACTTCCCATTTCCAGGACTCAAGTCCGGTTATATAAAATAACCGGTTTCCCTGAATCCCTTCACTAAATATTACCCTGCTCACACTCCAACAGTTCGTCAGGTCCCAAATACCATTCGTTTCCATTCACTCCTATCTAACCCGCTCACGCACGCTTGCTGGAAGTCCAAACCCTCGTCCACATAACCTCCTTTACCCCCTCCCTCCAACTTTTTCGAGGACAACCCCTACCCCGCCTTCGTTGCCCTACAGATTTATACGCTCTCCATGTCATTCTACTTTGATCCATTCTCTCTAAATGACCAAACCACCTCAACAACCCCTCTTCAGCCCTCTGACTAATGCTTTTATTAACTCCACACCTTCTCCTAATTTCCACACTCCGAATTTTCTGCATAATATTTACACCACACATTGCCCTTAGACAGGACATCTCCACTGCCTCCAACCGCAGTATATGTATGTATGTATATATATGTATATATATATATATATATATATATATATATATATATATATATATATATATATTATATATATATATATATATATATATATATGCAATAAGACACACACACACACACACACACACACACACAATATATATATATATAATATATATATATATATATAATATATATGTGTGTGTGTGTGTGTGTGTGTGTGTGTGTGTGTGTAAATGTATACCGGAGTATACGTACACTGAGAGGTATCAGTGAATGTGCTACAAGAGGTATTTATCACTCATGGTATTTACACTGAGATGCATAGAAGAGTAAATTTCTCACTCTGTATTCACTGATAGTTGTGTATCTTTCAGTGTATAATATTCAATTGTGTTGCAGGTACCACTGCGTGACGTCGTAATAAACACTTGTTTTGCAGGTACCCTTCGGTGACGTCCTGTGTTGTAGGTACTGCTGCCTGACGTGGTAATAGACTTGTGTTGCAGGTACTGCTAAGTGACAACATAAACACTTATGTTGCAAGTACCGCTGTGATGTCATAATCAACACTTGTGTTGCAGGTACTGCTGCTTGATGTCCTAATCAACTTATGTGTTGCATGTACCGCTGTGTGACGTTAAAGTACACACTTGTGTTGCAGGTGCCGCTGTGTGATGTAATAATAAACACTTGTGTTGCGGGTACCGCTGCGTGAATTAATAAACACTTGTGTTGCAAGTGCGGCTCCGTGACGTCATAATAAACACTAATGTTGCAAATACTGCTGCGTGACGTCATAATATACTCATGTGTTGAAGGTACCGCTGTGTGACGTCATAATTAACACTTGTGTTGCAGGTACCGCTGCTTGACATCGTAATAAAGACTTTGTGTTGCAGGTACCGCCGCGTGATGTCATAATCAACTCTTATCTTGTAGGTACGTGAAGGGGCAGTACGTGTCGGCACACGGGGAGGTGATCAGCCACGTGAACATCTCTACGGTGCACGTGACGGACGGGGGTACGTACGCGTGCACGGCGGAGAACAGTGCCGGCAGCGTGGTGCACTCAGCACGTCTTAACGTGTACGGCCCCCCGCACGTGCGTCCCATGGGGCAGGTGTCTGCTGTAGCGGGGGAGACCTTCCTTGTTACGTGCCCCGTCTCCGGCTACCCCGTGCACAAGATCACCTGGAGAAAAGGTACGTTCCCCTACCTCGTGCACAAGATCACCTGGAGGACAGGTACGTCTTTCTACCCCGTGCACAAGATCACCAGGAGGGAAGGTACGTCTGTCTACCCCGTACACTTGTGCACAGGGTAGAAGGTGCACATAAACATTGGTCTTCAAATTGTGAAAAAAAAAAAAAATCTACTTCGGAGAAAACACATATTTCACTTTAATGTTTTTTTTGAATATTGCAAACTAATGTGATCATAACAACAGTGAGTTAACTTTGCAAGCAAATTTATAACACATTTTTGCGTATATATATATATATATATATATATATATATATATATATATATATATATATATATATATATATATATATATATATATATATATATATAATGTATTCTTAACCTTACCTGTATAACGAATTCACTTGTACTGATGCAACCCGAGGCTGTTTTGCTTCTTTCTGGTATTCCACTTCTGGAGTATCTCCTGTCAGTTAGGTAAGTTTTCTCAGGACAGAGGACAAGTGTTTCCTGACGCGGGTCTTAGTCATATGATGACCCACCGCTGGAGCTTAAGGTCATCTGACAGAGGCCTTCCGTTGGCTTATCGGTCCACCACTTATGGTTATCAGTCAAGGGTCCATTAATTTGTTAACAATAATGGACACCACGTTCCCTGGTAGTGTTTCTCCAAGACTGAGGAGCTCCCACTGATTCAGTCTGGAGCCCCACAGTTCTGCCTTACTCAGTGGCAATTCTCTCTGATAAGGTCGTTAAATTCGTTCTGAGCAATCATGTGCGGTTTAGAAAATGTCAAAGTTATAAACATATTCAGGGTTTTGTGGAGTTGAAGACTCACAAGATTCGAAGTTTCCATTATCTTCCTCGTCCTCTGACTCACGGAAGGATGAGTTTGGAGACTCGGGAATAGGCAGTCATCCGCCGTGAAGTACGGGAGTATAACAGAGGTTACAATTGGATATTGTATAGTACATTTTTCTACTTGCAAATAACTTTCCTGACTGGAGGCACCATGCACAAGAATCAATTGTTTACATGATCTAGTGGTTCCCTCCACACCATCGGCACTGCTATAGAGTTCCTGTTTCAGTTCAACCACTAGCGAAGGTGTGAAGGCTTACTCAGCCCTGTAAGATCTTAAGTAGGTCTTACCAAGGCTGGCTCCTCCTTAGGAAAATTAATGAATAGAAAAAGAATAATAACATACAAATATAAACACTTTGTTATAATTGAAAATATAAAACATTTAAATATGAACTTTTATCCTACGTAAGAGAGAGATGAAAAATGAAATAAAATATTATATTTGAATTCAACGCTAATATGTACAGTTAGACTGTGGTGTCTGGTTGATGTTGACACCGCGCCTTGTAGAAATTGTGTCAAGATGATTGGAAAGCAGGTCTTTCACCACTTGCAAATATGAGGGATAGTTGTCTGGGGTTGGCTACACTCCTCAGGTATGTAGATAAAAAGTGACGCCCCAGAACTCATGTGAAGTTCGTCTCCTTCAACACTGTCTCTGTGGTTGCCAGATGACCCAAGCTGACATTCCAAGCTAGAAAGAGACAAAAGTTAACCACTGCTTGAGAAATCACTCTCCATGATATGTAAAGCATCTAAAAGACTGATGAGGATTTAAATTAAAGTTAAGGCATTATGAACTAAGTTTTCACAATTAGTTAAAAGTGAAGCGTTTAAAACTAATATATCCATTAAAAGCAGGAGCTGAGGCTTTTACTTACAGTTGTGTTTGGAGCTGTTAGTCAAGTGATTATCCATTTGGTCAGAGCCCCACACGTCACCTTTCCGGGTAGAAAAAAAAGGGGGGGGGGATAGCGGGACCTAGACACTGACTCTATCTTAACAAGCAGACTGGCAATCAAACTATCGTCACCATATACTCACTCGCTACTCCTGTCTGTTGAACTTTTCCCTCACAGGTTTGTTGCACAAGTATTTCAACATATGTGTGGAGCCCAGCTCTTGGCCTTACGTCCAATATTACGGCCAAAATAATGATGACAAGCTTTCCTGATCACGGCAGTTATGGAACGCTTTTACAACGCATAAGCCACTTCTTCACAAACATAAGAAAAGTTATTTACACTGTTCATACAACTACAAAGCATCTTTGTCCAAATTTGGCTGGAAAAAAGTCAATGTCAAGAACAAACACCAAAACACAAGTACTAATAAGAGTAGAGCGCATGCACACTGTCTAACCTCCGGGAGAGAACTGATACCATCCAGTTAGCAGGGTGATGTAACACCTCGGTTAAGAGTGAATCATTCGTTTTCTGTCATTAGAGATGTCAAAATAAAACAATGCCAAAATCAAAGTTGAACAATTGGTGGCTCATGCCACTTTAAAAGAAAAAAAAGAGCTACTGATGAGAAATATGGAAAACTTCTTAAACAGCTACACACTGATGATCTAAATAAAGAGCCTTTCCCTTGTACAGTTTATTTCCCCCCTCCCACCTTCCTAAGTCAAGGATAACAACAACCGCGCTGAGTCCATATCTTTATAAACAGAGCCAATTTGCAATTTGTAGCATCATTTCCGTATTCAGTGGCCCAAAATTAGTGAAAATTGACTAGTTTTATCTCCAAAGTATTTTTGGCTGTGGATCGGTGTATTGAGAACGCAGAGCTACCAAGAATGTCTCCTTGTAAGCTCGAGTCACACCGTCAGCTGCTGCACATTCACAGTTACACTCATTTTTCTGCTGATGAATCGATGAATGGAGACTATTCATTGTTGTTGTTGCTGTTGATGTTCTTGTTGTTATTGTTATTGATATTATTGTTGTTGCTGTTAATTTTGTCATTATTGTTGTTGTTGATGATGTTGATGTTGTTGCATGCAATAGGTGTATTAGCGTGAGTGTACTGCATTGCAGCTCACTAAGCTCCTTGTGATTGAGCACTCCTTCTATATTCGACGCACGCGATACAAAACCACGATCCTTGAAGCCACCTCAGTCGGATGTGACCACCGTAGCCAGCGCCATCTAGTGACTGTATACAACCGTAGCTATCCAGTCAGACTGTCTCAAGCCGGAAGCTGGTTCACACTACACAGTAACCAGAGGATCTTCGGTAGTGTGCAGTAGCTGTTGTAATTCCTAAGAGCACTCTATTTTCACTACTCTGCTCTAAACCTCTGTTCACACATACACATTAGCTTTCCATTTGTATTTGTAGTGTACATGTATGCACATAAGTTCTGGGAAGGGATGCAAACGTTACATGTTACCACTGTGTCTGTTTTCTTTTCTCGTTATCGTAAGAATGACTTTAAAAGGTGTGGTCTATACCAGAACACAGTACAACACATTGCGGTATTGAATAGGTGGTGATGGTGGTGGTGATGATGATGGTGGTTGTGATAGTGGTGGTAGTGATGGTGATGGTGGAAGTGGTGGCAGTGGAGGTGGTAGTGATGGTGGTGATGGTGGTAGTGGAGGTGGTGGTGGTGATGGAGGTGGTGCTGGTGATGGAGGTGGTGGTGGTGATGGAGGTGGTGATGATGGTGGTGGTGGAAATGGTGGTGGTGATGGAGGTGGTGGTAGTGGAAATGGTGGTGGAGGTGGTGATGGTGGTGGAGGTAGTGATGGTGGCGGTGGAGATGGTGGTGATGGGGTGGTGGCAGTGAAGGTGGTGGTGGAGCTGATGATGGTGGTGGTGGTGGAGGTGGTGGTGGTGGTGGGAGGTGTGGTAATGGAGGTGGTGGTGGTAATATAGGTGGTGGTAGTGGAGGTGGTGGTGGAAGTGGTGATGGTGGTGGCGGAAGTGGTGGTGATGGAGATGGTGGTAATGGAGGTGGTGGTGATGGAGGTGGTGGTGGTGGTGTTGCAGGTGATGATGGTGTGAGGTGGTGGTGGTAGCGGTGGTGGAGGTGGTGGTGGTGAAGTTGGTGGGGGTGATGGTGGTAGTATTCGTGGTAATGATATTCGTAGTGATATTGGTGGTGGGGATAGTGGTAGTGGTGGAGGTTGTGTTGGCGGTGGTATTGGTGGAATTGGTGGTACTAGTGGTATTGGTGGAGGTGATAGTGATGGTGGTGGTGATGATAGTGATAATGGTGGTGGTGGTGGTGGTGGTATTGGTACTGGGAATAGTGGTGGTGCTTTGTTTGTCAGGAAAAGAAATACGCGTCTCTCTTGCCTAGATTTAAGGTTCACAATATTTGCTGCCAATGTGTTATCAATGTATAATGGTGATGAGGTGTAGGGAGTGATGGTGTACAGTGGGTGATGGTGTACTGTGGGTGATGGTGTACAGTGGGTCATCAAGTGTAGTGGTGATAGTGTTAAGTCCTGTGAGCCTCAGTAACTGAGTGAGTGGATTACAGACATGACAAAGGGGATTTATGAGGTATGTTAATGGCGGCGGGAGGTTATTAACGATGTTATAGTAGGATTTATACAACACCTCTACTTATGTTACCTCTCTCTCTCTCTCTCTCTCTCTCTCTCTCTCTCTCTCTCTCTCTCTCTCTCTCTCTCTCTCCCAAGGGGTAACTAATGCTTCATGACCAATAATATTCTCATTTAAAGACTAATCCTCATTAATGACATATTCCTAATTATTAATTTCTGGTTAAATCACCGGATAATTAACATTTAGCAGCATAAAAGCATTTTTTGGTAGCTTTCCGGGTAAAAACTGTTTTAATATCTTGATCAAAGCTGGACCTGTTTCTCTGTTTCAAACGAATAAAAATGGCGGATATAATTACGGCTTCATTATTGAATTAATTTTTTATGCCATTATGATGTACAATGTAATCTTGATAATTCGTTATTTGTTTGTGTGTACCTGAGTAGCGTGTGTGTGTGTGTGTGTGTGTGTGTGTGTGTGTGTGTGTGTGTGTGTGTAATTACCAATTTATAATTGCTTGTTTGTAGCTAAAAGAGCAGAGTTGTGTTCGTTGTGTTCTGCCTTCAATATTTAGCACATTTAAATGTTCAAAATTTGCTGTGGTTGTAGCACTTGCCTGTTCTCCTTTGATGCTTTATATTGGTCAACCACTGCGTGTGTGTGAGATAGCTTTATCCGCTTTACCCACGTGTTGTTGGTATTGCAGATGGGGTGCGGTTGCCCACAACGCACCGTCAGAGGGTCCACGCCAACGGTACACTGGTGGTGGAGCAGGTGACTCGAGGTACTGACGATGGTCAGTACTCCTGCACCGCCTCCACTAGACAAGGTCTCTCCGACACCCAGCACCTCACAGTCCGTGTCATGGGTAGGTCATGGGGGGGGGGAAGTGCTGGGGGTCTGTCTTCAGGAGACACCCAGCCCCTCACCCTCCGTGTCATGGGTAGGTCATGGGGGAGGGGAAGTGCTGGGGGTCTGTCTTCAGGAGACACCCAGCCCCTCACCCTCCGTGTCATGGGTAGGTCATGGGGGAGGGGAAGTGCTGGGGTCTGTCTTCAGGAGACACCCAGCCCCTCACCCTCCGTGTCATGGGTAGGTCATGGGGGAGGGGAAGTGCTGGGGGTCTGTCTTCAGGAGACACCCAGCCCCTCACCCTCCGTGTCATGGGTAGGTCATGGGGGAGGGGAAGTGCTGGGGGTCTGTCTTCAGGAGACACCCAGCCCCTCACCCTTCGTGTCATGGGTAGGTCATGGGGAGGGGAAGTGCTGGGGGTCTGTCTTCAGGAGACACCCAGCCCCTCACCTTGCGTGTCATGGGTAGGTCATGGGCTACTGTTGCCCAAAATTATTAACAAAATTATATAGATGTGAATGAGCAAATTTATTCTCGCCAGTCATAACTAGTACTTGTGAATTATTCTTTGCTAATAATTTGACACTAATCTGAAGGCTGAGTTAATTTTTGAGGTTAGTGGAGGTAGGTGGCAGCTGTGATGTACTGAGCCTCATAGAACAGACACATGTGCAAGGTGACGTTACTTTATTAAGAAAACGTTTCGCCCACTTGAAGCTTTATAAGTGAGGATGCGTGTGGGCGAGACGTCTCTCTAACATATCAAACGAGATGGCTTAGTTGTGAGAGGACCCTTGTAGGTTTAGCGCTTCTTTTTTATTACATTTATAATCATGGGGAGCGCTAAACCCGTCTGGATTATATAGCGCCTGTGGGGGAGGGGTGGAAAGTATTCACGCTTAATTCAGGGAACTGGAGCCCATATCCAATTCCCCATATCAAGATCCCCTCACCAGCGTCAAGGAACCTCCCTTGAGGGGTTTTAATAATAATAATAATAATAATAATAATAATAATAATAATAATAATAATAATTAGTAGTTGTGAGAGTCTCGGTTCTCATCGTCCAATTCCCGGGATCAAATCTCCGGATGGGAGAGGAATAATCCATATAAAAAAGATATCTAGCGATACACAGGTGTCTCTTTCATTCATTTGTCGGTATTATACATTTTGTAAGAACTAAATCCCTGGCTGGGAGAGGGATTTGTCCAGCAGGTGGCAGGAGAGTCAGACTTTCTTACAACTGGCTTGTCCATTAAGTGGTGTGTCTGTCTCGTATTTTCCAGATGGTGGATCGAGCCTCCATCACTACTTGCTCTAAATGACCCACACGGGCTTAGCTCTCCAAGAATAAAAGTGTTTTTCCTTGGATGAACAATGGGGCGAGCCAACGGGTAGTGAAAGCAACTGTTTTGCAATGGAACAACCATGATAAACGCTTCACTGCAAACATAGTGGCCTGAGCTCTGGTGTCGTGAATTGTTATGAACTGTAACGTAATGATTAAACGACTCCCACGTCTCTACATTGTTGTTTCAAGATTAAGTTAGACAGGCTGTTGATAAGGCATTCTGTAAAAACAGTTAGGGTCATGAGAATGTATGGGCAATGGAAATAGCAAGAATTTACAGTTTACATCGAGGTCATCTTCTTCAAGCAGGAGAGAGAGAGAGAGAGAGAGAGAGAGAGAGAGAGAGAGAGAGAGAGAGAGAGAGAGAGAGAAAGAAGTTGGAGTGAGGCAGGAAAGAGTAGCGATCAGATAGAGAAACATGACTGTAAGACATCATAGAATTAGGCAGAAACAATAAACAAGTAGATAAGCAGGTAGATGGTAGCATCTAGGTAAATGTATTAGCAGGTACGGCGGCAACTTGGTAGAGAGGCAGGCCGATGGCAGCAGCAGTCAGGCACAGTATTAACAGGTTGAGGCACTAATGGCAGACGTATTACAGTGGCTCCGGTAGTTCTGCCTTTCCACTTTGAGGAGAAGCTGCAGGCGGGAGAACGGGCGGGGGCGGCGTGCATCGTGAGCAAGGGCGACCCACCCATCACCTTCACCTGGGAGAAGGATGGCCGCCCAGTCCAGGAAATAGGCGGAGTCTCCGTGTCTGTCGTGAGTCCATTCTCCAATACCCTGATGATCAACAGCCTCACGGCCCACCACACCGGAGAGTACACTTGCCGCGTCTCCAACAACTGGGCGGAGGCCTCCTACTCCGCCGCCCTCGCCGTCAATGGTACGCCCACGGCCACCGACGGCCGCCCACACCACGCAGCTGAACCTTGGACGTCACCACCACCACCTCCCACATAAACCAACGCTTCTTCTCTCCACTTTTTTCCAGAATCAATTTGACGTGTCTGTGATGGTTCATGTGTCGCAGAAATAACCTGGACGAGGCTACAACCACTTACCGCGACTGTTCTTCCTCTTACTCTGGTTTTCTCTTCCTTCAACTCTCAACTCTCATTCGAGTCATACTACATTTCACCCTCATCTACCTCATAGTCTCACGTTATCCTTTGTCCCAGAAGTTGATTATCTTCATATCTCTCTATTTCTTTCCCCCTTTTTTTTGCCTTAGTAAATGGGCCCTTGTCTTTCCTCTTTTTCCGGGACCAAATACATAAATTACCCATTGTGGTGCTGTACCAGCCATTTAATTCATATATGATAGTTGTTGCCCTTCTGTGTGTGTGAGTGGTGTGTGTGTGTGTGTTGCAGTGCCGCCCCGCCTGGCCCCCTTCAGCTTCGCGGTTGGCACCCGGGCAGGGATGCGTGCCCAGGCTACCTGTCTTGCGCAGGAGGGGGACCAGCCCCTGGCTCACGCCTGGCTCAAGGACGGACATCCCCTCGACCCCAATTTGGACGTCCGTACCTCCCAGCTGGACGCCTTCACCTCCATCCTGGTGATCGACAGAGCCACCGCCGCCCACACCGGCAACTACACCTGTGCCGCCACCAACGCCGCCCGCACCACCACCATCACCGCCCGCCTGACCGTCAGCGGTAGGCCGCCCACGGTCTCATGCCCACTGTGGCACGACTCTGACATACTAAGAGTGAGAGAGAGAGAGATTGTAGGGAAGAAAGAAGTCAACAGAGACCAGATGACGTAATTCGCCTGCAGGTGGACCAGGAGAAACTCTAGCACAGCTCAGTGGACGCATACTTACCCAGCAACATCCCAGAGGGAAGGCGATGAGTGGTACTGCAAAGCATAAATTTCCACATGTGGTGACCATCAATCTGCAGTTGATCAGAAGAGCCTAAGTTCCCAGAAAGCTTGTGTAGTTCACCATCCCTCTAGCACCACTCATCGTCTTTCCGACACTACCATCCCTTCAGCACCACTCACCCGACCTACCATTACCAATCACCGCCGCTCTGCCATCACTCACCCAGTCGTTTGACATACTATGATTTTGACCTGTATATTCTACCGATTATGACCAACACACACTTAACGTGTTGATCTTTTTTACATCAAGACGATGCTAGTCATGTTGGAGACAAGACCAAGAGCTGTGATGTCACCTGAGGCACTTCATGACTCGTAGGACCTCCGCTCACTGGCTAGACAATAAACAGCCTTTGAGAGTCTCCCATTGTTTTTGGTCACTGTTTGGACAATAAATGGGAGTCCTCTTAATCATTAGTCACTGCTAAGTTAATCAGAGAGTGTATTCTACTTAGTGTCTCGCTTGCTAATCACCGGGAGTTTCTCGCTTCATTGGTTGCTGGTCGACTAATCAGTGAGAGTAACCCATGTCGTTGGTCTATATCTTACCAGTCACCGTGAACCTCACATAACGTTGGATGCTGGTCGGCCAGTCAGCAATGGTCTCTGCTTTATAGGTGATGTAACACTCTTCAAATGATAAACTCCATTGTTCTGCCCCAGGAGGGAAGGGTGAAGCCTGCAGGTGAGTTACAGTGACATAGGAGACAGAGACAGTGTGGGTGTCTGTGTGAGACAGAGACAACGTGGGTCTTTTAGAGACAGACGGTGTGAGTGAGTGTGTGATACGTCTTCTCTGGTACTTTCTCTTTAGACACAAGTTCCTACACCCACACATCTTCACAAGTCATCTACTGCCTTTCACACACACACACCTCCTCAGTAGGAGTATTTAAACATTATTGTACCTATGTTGAGGTGCAATCATGATGGTGCGTCTCTGTGGCTTGGATCACTCAGGTTCATGCTCATATTTCGTGTTGCAGTGCAAAGCTTATTAAGAAACAAGTATTTACGAAATGTGTTTATATCGTTCCACATCTTCAGATTTTTAAACATCATGTAAATAATATTTCTCCCTCATACATTTCAAAGTATTTACCATACACCATTGATGAAAGAACTATATATCTATGATACATAATCATATTAATATCCAAAATATATATTTCCACTAAGTACTCACAACGCTGACAGGTTAGACTTAATCTTCTTCTTTTATCCAGTTTAATTCCTTTTGATATCTTGAACCAATGATATTTTCACATTCTTAATGTTAATGTAAAAGGTGTGTCATGCAGACGTCGAATATTAACTCTCCAAGGTTTTCCACCACCACAAGTCTGTAATAAACCTCTATGAATATTGGTTCTAATCCGACTCGCTCATATATCCATAAAAAATGGACACATGCTCTCCGCCGTCGTGCTAACCCATTGAGAAGTTCGAGAATCTGATAAAAACAAATTGCAATTAAATGTAGGCAGGGAAAGTGTTAAAAGTCATTTTTCCGATTAAATTCATTCATTCTCACCTGTGGTCAGAAGCGTCTCGAAATCACTTCTCAAGTGAATATTGTAAAAATGATAGAAAACGTGCTATATAAAACAGAATAGTTTAACTTTGTATATTTTATTAAATATATTTGAATATAATTTTTAATAACATTAAATTAAATTTATCCACATACATTTATATGTTTATTAAAAAAACTAGAGTATAGCAATCCATCATCTGATTCGAAGAACATCGTCACGCTGCTTGTGGATAAGATTTCTCTGGTCAACTTCGACTTTCTTTCTCCTATTATTCACTGATCTTGTTATTTACTTGATCATTACTTCAACATGCGACATCCAATAAGTTTTCCACTGTTTGATGTTTTATTATGAGAGACATTAATAATAGTCGTGATGACAAGCAGTGAGGTTCCAGTATGTGGTGAGTTTACTACACTTACTGCAAGAAGTTCTGCACTGTAACTCAGAAAGTGGACACCAGGGTGATGCTCCTCTGTATACTGGCCCTAGCATGTTGATGCATGTTATCTACCCCCAGGAGTCATTCACTGCCGCCATTCACATCTGCGATCACCACACACACCCTCACCATACACATAAACACACATATACAAAACACACACACACACACACACACACATACCATCACCCATCATTACCACCATCATTATTTCCCATATTACCTCGAACACACACCCTGATCACCCATACACACACCCTCACAACCTCCCTACAAACACACACACACACATACACACCTACACTGCAAATAGGTGAGTACACATATCCTAACAGCCTCAACCACCCATAACTAACCATCCACACAATCTCACCCCCCAAATACACACACACTCACCCCCACATACACACACTCACCCCCCACAATACACACACTCACCCCCCACATACACACACTCACCCCCACATACACACACTCACCCCCACATACACTCACCCCCCCACATCACACACTCACCCCCCACACACACACTCACCCCCCACACACACACTCACCCCCACATACACTCACCCCACATACACACACTCACCCCACATACACACACTCACCCCCACTACACACACTCACCCCCACATACACACACTCACCCCCACATACACACACTCACCCCCACACACACACTCACCCCACATACACACACTCACCCCCACGTACACACACTCACCCCCCCCCACAACCTCACCACCTAGGCACCTTTCACCCCAAACTCTCCCACTTTTCATATACTATATAAAAAAAACTGTAGTGTGAACTTATCTCTACAGTATTTCCCGAAATTTAAGGGACGTAAATTAAAATATCGTGTTAAAACACTAATAATATTGTAACAAGAATAACCTCTTTCATTCACTTTTTTACAAGTGTTTTTCGTATCATGTAAATATTTAACTGAAATTTTTTCTTCAAAAAAAGAATTATACACACACCACAAAATATTTAATAATAAATTTTTAGAAAAAATATATATATAATTATATTTAATATATTTTTTAATATATAAATATATATAAATATATGCAAGACTAGAAGGGGGTTGGAAATCTTGTTCAAGTATTTCACATTTCTCAGTGCGTCATAGGGTTGTGTAATGATAAAAGGCAGCAACAAAGAAGTATGGTAAGTTTTGGTAGGTAGGGAATGGTATGTGTACGCACCGCCAAACTTGAGAGCAAGCAGGACCCAAACCACCCCCCCTATGGGTGGGGTGGGGGGGTAAGATCGGTGTGTGGTTGGCACCTCTTACCTTCAGAGTCGGTGGGGCCTACAAAATTTTTCTCACTACCCTACTTTTAAACCCTTACTCATTTTTTGTTGTTTTTTTGCAACATTGCACGCCCCTGATGCGCAGTAAGTGTAAAAAGTTTTGACAAAAGATTTTCCCCCCCCCCGGGCTAGTCTTGCATTATATATAATATATTATATATATATTATATATAAAATTTATATATGTATATATCCAGGGGAAGAGAACAAAATTCTTCCTCTTTAAGCAATGCGTCCCGTAAGAGGGACTACCATCCCCGGGCAAGGGGCAGTAACCCTTTCTCCGTATACATTGCAAAATTTTTAAAAAGGAAAAACTTTTTTTTTCTTTTTGGGCCACCCTGCCTCGGGGGGATGGGGCCCGGGTTTGTGAAAGATATAAAGATATATATAATATTATTAATTCAAGATTATACAATTAAACAATTTTGAAAAATGTTTCCCCTCCCCTTCCCACTTTTCAGTGCCCCCACCCGGGGGTGGACCCAGCCAGTCCGTGGGGGTTTGGGGTGCCACTGTAGCATTCACTGTTGGCAAGGGGTTCCCAACCCTCCCATCGCTTGGGCAAGGGACGGGTGGAACCTTTTTGGGTGGTAGTTAACGATGTAAGTACTAGGGTCAAACGAGGGGGGCCCCATCGTTGAAGTAGGGGCGCGGGTTTGGGGGAGATCCCTTCAATGGGGGTGTGTCATGCGCCGTTAAAGGTTACGTACTCTTTGCATGCCACAACCTTTGTTGGGGGTAGTGAACGAAAACCTTTTGTGGGGGCAGTTATGAATGGCCCTTTGTTGGTGGGTGTTAGTGCTGTTAACCATTGTGGTGGTATTGTGTATGAGTGATGCCCTTGGGTTGGTAGTGTGTATATTTGTTGGTATATGAGTTACGGCCTTGGCGGTGTGTGTGGTGACTGTTGTTGGTGAAATTTTGTGACCAATGTTAGGTAATTATGATTTTGTGACGGGTAACGGGTGATCTTTTTAACGATGTTATTAAACCCAGGTTCCAAATGGCCCTTTTCCCGGGTGTAAAGGGGAGCAAAATAAACACAGCAAAAAAAAGTTTAGACTTATATTACCCTTCCCCAATTTGAACGAAATATTACCAAGTACAGTGAAAAAGTATTGCACCCCAAATAAGAAAGGCAGAAATGAAGCCAAAAGATAGCAGACGGCTTAAACCCACTAGAAGGGAATGAAAAGGGCAGACAGGGGTGGTACCCAAAAACCCTTGCTTTTGCCAAAACCCATTTTTATTGGCTAGAACCTGGTCACTATTGAAGAGGGGGCCCCATCTCAACTCTTGCAACCGGGTTCGCGGTTGGGGGAGTTTTGCCTGTAAATGAGGGTGTGTCATGTCCCGAAAAAGGGTTAGTATCTTTGCATGCCACACCCCCACCCGAAAAGGCTCGGTTAGGTCCACCCCCCCGTGGTAACCGTCCCCGCCAGGCACAAAATAAGGGGAAAGC